ACTTTTTCAATATCAGGTTTTTCCAGATCAATTAACGGGGTATCTTCCTCTGAAAAACATGACAAAAAGACAGAAAATTTAGAACTGACATCTAAAATTGTTTTAAGTAAGGCCTCATATTAAAAATAATCAGAGTTAGTCTTCGCATGTCAGACTACTTATTAGATAATTTATGAAACTTAGTTACATTCTCATAGCAAGGTAAGAATATGGAGATTATGGTAAACAAACTAGAGTTTGTGCAGAAAATGTAATTGCATACTTCTAATTTGTAGATTTATTAAAAGTATAATCATTCGTTCAATAGTAAAAACTAGAACGTCTAACTTCAAAATAAAAGTTCTAAAACACGGGGAGAAAAGTATAGCAATCTAAAAAGTTTTCAAATGAACCGTCTCGGTATTTACGTCATGCCAACATTCCGTGTTGTTCTTAATAACTGAGTACCCTGCAGTTCCAAACAAGAGAAAATTATTTCTCTCCCTGTTTCTTAACTGTGTTTTTGTCCAACTTTAACTAAAAAATTGCATGATAGATAGGCATATTTTTTTTAAAACTCTAGAAGATACAAAGTTCTCATGTTTTTTTCAAGTGTATGTTAATTAAAAGACATATTGCCCCCTAAGATTGGATTTTAGGTAAGTGAAGATAGTTATGCAAGGCGGCTCTGAGAGTAGAGAAAATAAATTATTCTTGAACATAAACTAAAGGTCACTCCCACATCTTACAATTCGTTATTAATGAAAGTAAGACTCAGGTCAGTCATTTCTGTAGACAAGGTTTGAGACCTTGGCGGAGGGAAGTTTAAATGCGATGCCTTTCTTATGGGGGAACCAATTTTACATCAAACTGGTTGGGGCCGAGTGATGGTCGGGCAGGGGAGTGCATCTCAAAAACATGCGCAGTGACTGACTTGTGTGGCTCAGTCTTGGATAAAAGCAATAAAGTTAACTTCCTCTGAATCAAACTCTTTTAGGGATTTGTCCAATTTTTCATAAGAACAAAAAATCCTCTAAGTAAGAGGAACTAAAAATCTGGACCCAATGCAGTTCAACTCAGAGAAAGCTTACTGGACCACATTAAGCAGAAAGGAATCAAATCACATCAGCTATTGCCAAATTCAATCGGGCAATGTAATTTTTTACATGAAAACCGTTGTGCGGTTTTTTGTGCAAATTGCAGTTAATTTTCTGCATATTACCAAGCAAATTTCTTAAAATTTTCAAAGGGACTCGAGCAAACATTCTCTTGTAAAAAATTAGATTGCCCAGTTAAATTTGGCAGTAGCTGATGTGGCTTGGTTCCTTTCTATTAAATACGCATCCATTTGTCCGCATCCATTTGGGTCCAACTGTGACAGATTTTATTGCGCTTCATGAAGAGAATCTATGATGGAGTCTTCGTAATAAAATTGTTTATAGACCACAATGTGTTTGTGCTGCAATGATATCATGAGGCAGCAGTATAGTAGAAACAATGAGGCTGAGACTTCTTTTTGAAGTCTTCTTTCGAAAAACAATTTGTGTTTGAAAGTTAGATTTAGTCCATTAAACAAAAATCTAGGTACACCCTTAATATCATCTATGTAGTATAAGTCTTCTGCATACAATTTTTCAAGGGAAGAAATATAATTCCTGAACTGTCAAGTACTTGGCTTGGTGCATCTCTGTAAATTTTAAATATAAGCAAATACTGGATTTTAAGGTAATGAGAACTATGAACAAAGAAGACTAATGCTGTGGTAGAGCTTTCCTTGACTTAGATAATACTTATTATAATGAAAACAACATATAATAGGAGTTACCTGGGTTGCGGGAGCACTTATTAGAAACATCCATTATCAGATCCTTTTTCCCAGCACGATGGAAGGCTATGGTTTTCCACAAGAGTCTGAAAGGAAGAAAGAATAGGATTGATTGAATTATTTTTCTTTCTTACTTTTACTTCTTGAGAAGTTTGATTTTTTCTTTTAGTAGGTAGATTAGAAAGGTAGTTGGGAATGGAGGGGTTATTAATACTACAATTTGGTGTTGGTCAAATTTTTATTCCTGCTATACATGATGTTCTAACTATTGGACTTTATGAGCCTCATAAACTTAGCCATGTCAGTGTCAAGAAAGAAGTAGAGTAGACGAGGAACTTTTCATGACATTGACTTTTGTTGGAGAATGGACCACTAGACAATGTACGAATTTAAGCAATCTGATACATGTGACTCAATCAGAATTTCACGTAGAAAACGATTCGCACAACGAAAATTACTGAAACCAACTCCTAACGAAGATATTAACGTTTTTATTTTACATTGGCTACGAGGAATTTGAACTGCCCGCTCACAAGAAACTCAAAGCTCTACGTGCGTCAAATTGTGCACTACATCGGTTTCAGCAAGCTTATCAATCGAGCAATGTTTATTTCCCACCATGTGTTGTTCAAACTATTAGCAATTTGATATAGCTGAGCCAAAGCGTCAAGATTGAGGTTGTCAGATTTTTATATCGCAGAGACTGTCATGAAAACGTTTAGCGCGTGATGTGAATCACGTAGAGCATTGAGTTTTCATGAGCGGGTGGTTTGAAGTCACGCATCAGGAATCATTAAATATCTTTGTAAGGAGTTGATTTCGGTAATTTTTGTAGTGCGCATCGTGTTCTACGTGAAATTTTGGTTAAGAAGCATGTATCAGAATGCTGAAATTCGCACCTTGTCTGGTGGTCCATGCTGTACAGCACTACTGTTGAGCCAACAATCTGGATGGTTTCTGGCTTTTTCTCACTGCACAGACACACTGCATAATTATGAGTTTTTCTTTGATCCATGGAATGCAATGCATTCGGTCCTCTGCATTTCAGCTGAGGCTAGGATTGCTTGTAAGCACTCGCAACCCACCTCAGGAGACAGGTGACAGATCTGATCATTTCACTGAAATGCAAGAAACAGGCTGGACCATGCCAGTGAATCAGGATAAATGATAAAATAGTGATGTGTTTCATCGCATTCCATTTCAATTCGCTGAGGTTCGGATAAAAAAGAAGCACTCATGAAACAAAAACCTAACTTGATGAGAAGTGAGAGATGAACTCGCAGATTAGGGGCTGAATAGAGAATAAGGATAATTTCAGCGACACTTGATGAGATGTTATGAAAAAAGTCTATTTCTTTCTTGGAGATAAGTAGAACTGGGGAAATAAAAGAAGAGACATATGTCACATCAGAGAACAGCACCATTCAGCAAAAATTTAAGTGGTAACTGATGAGCCAACTGATGATAGATGCATTCAGGTTGATGTGACATATGTCTCTTCTTTTCTTTCCCGAGTTCGACTTGGTACATGATTCGGATGGCACAATAGATAAATATCGACCACGAGCGGATTTGACTTCAGTTGAACTTACAAACCGCAGATAACTGGAAGATAATGTAAGAAATGAGGACCAGAATTAAAGCTCAATGATACAGGCAAAGACCATAGGCAACCTATGATTGTTTTGCTAGGGATATTAAGAAAGATTTGCCGAGAGTGTGGGTCAGCTGTGCAGAGAAATTGGGCATTCACTTAAATAAAAACAATAATTTAAAGCGGTAACGGGTATTCTTTGCGCAACGAATCCAACCTCTATTAATAGCAAATGGATGCAAGAAAGTAATTTCACTTTAGTAAAGAATAATGGGACGTTTCAAAGCAGCATTACCGCCGAGGAAAAGTTGAGTTCGAAGATCTGAACCATTGCGATAATGAATTCTGTCTGCATGGCATTTTTTGGTCGACAGATGCAAGTGACAAGAATTTTACTGGTAATCAAGAGAGAGAAAGGAGAATGATGAGTAGAAAATTTGTTTTTATTTGAGAGTGAGCATGGGCACACAAGATCAGTGTGCCTGTGCTGAGCGTAGACCAAAATTGGAACTGTCAAAAAATGAAGAACACGACGAAAGAGAAGAGAGTCAATGGTAATTTTGAAACTTACGGCTTTGTACTCTAGTTGGAAAACTTCGGTGGCATAAACAAAGAGAAAACAAGAGTCCGGACGTGAATTGCGGACAAAGAGAAAACAAGAGTCCGGACGTGAATTGCGGAGCGCGTGGCACCCCCTACTTTTAGACGAGTCGTCTCTGATTGGCTGATTCGCCTGGTGCCCACTTTCTGGAGCCCTTATGGAAAATAACACGGNGTGGGCACCAGGCGAATCAGCCAATCAGAGACGACTCGTCTAAAAGTAGGGGGTGCCACGCGCTCCGCAATTCACGTCCGGACTCTTGTTTTCTCTTTGGGCATAAATTACTTCTTCCAAAATTTTAAAACGAGGGGCAGCTTATCAAAGATTAGTCGATGTCGATGACCGTTTCGGTTTGAAAAACAGAAGGATATTCAAGGTTAAAAATGTTTTCATGTAGATAGTAGCAACTGCGCTGCGCAGAAGGCGTAAATTGAGCCTTTGCGCATGTCTCTCAGAACATAAATAATTTCAAATGCAAAACGTAGGCTGGTCGACGAATGTCCCCCACTGACCGACTTCTGACGGATTATCCCCGAGATTTTGGACGAAAGTATCAAAACAATTTACAGGTTATGCAAACAAGTTTTACACCTTATTCCTTCTATTTTGCTACGAAGCTCTTAGAAAAAAAACAAAAAAAAAAAAACAAACTCGTTTTATACATTTTACTTATATTAATTGTTGTTGTTGTCAAGTTAATTTGTTATCAGTTGATTTAAACATTATCATTCACTGCTGCGCCTGCGAAAACTTTGGTGAGCTTTTTTATTAGAGGAATTAGCTTTTCTCTATTTCGGCGCTTTTCATCCATGGCTTGACCCTTTTATGAATGAATTGCTTCCTCGTGTTTTTATTACAGTGACGTCGCAACACAACCCGGAATCGGCCTCAGTCTCAGTCTTCACGACCAATGATCAAGCGCGATGAGCTTTCTTTTCTTCTTCGTTTTGTGCCCTGTCCGTCGTCATCCTGCCATTCGTTCGTGAAGTTCGTGACTCCTCGTCAGTTTTAGATTCTCCCTCGTTCGCCTTCGTTTTCCCGAGGCAACGAGGCTCTGGGATTGGACCATCCAGTCTAGGCCATTATCATTGCGTCTAATCAGTATCAGCTGACCGAGACTGAGAAGATACCGTCTCGTCAGTCGTCTCGTCTTCGCAGTTCAGTTTCAGTTTCCTGTTAAAATTAAATTTGTCACTCGCAATTCTCAAATCGCGGGTGCCTTTCGTTCGTAACGGGAGGTGAAAAATCGTGGTTCGGAAATCTGCTTCATTCACACAGAAAACCGGAAGAATCCGGTGATTCTCTATCTGTAAATATTGCAATTGCTGTATCCCCATCAGCTGAAATCGTGTATCGAAACTTGTTGCATGAACTTTCTCGTGTTTGCCTCGAGCTAAAGTGCTCAGAATTCGTTATTTGAAGTGATTGTGTCGTGTGTTTTCGTGGTAACTGCGGAAGATTGAATTTGTCAAAATTCATCCTATTGTCGGGTTTGTTCGAGTGTTGTTCTGTTGTTTTTGAAGTCGTAAGGATTGACCGAAAAATTTAGGTTAGTTCCTACTTCTACTTCCTGCTTTACGTTTTAAACTGAAATGAATTGTAAGGAAGATAATTAAGTAATCGAGTATTTTCCACTGATTTGGATTTTGTGAGTCTCGTGAAGATTCCTACTCTTTCCTTGGATTATTGCTGGTTTATGATAAGAGCTCAAGGTGAGTCACAATCTTTATCTTCACACACTCTTATCTATTCATGTGAGGACATTCCATCCTTACACAAGTATGTAGGTATTTATTACAACTTCCAGATTAACTCCGTAATTTCCCTTCTATTGTCCCAAACTGAGTGGTAAAGGAGACCTATGTTGTCTTTCAAGGGGGCTAAGCTGCGCGCAACTTACTGCTCTTGTCAGATTACGTAATGTTTCTGCTTTCAGCGTCTATTTACCCAGCAAATTTTGTCATTGTTTCGTTGAGATATAAGTTAAAGTTGTCAGTAGGGTCATTGTTGACCCAGGTCTGGAACTTTCACCCATGAGAGAGCTGGTCAAGATATTCATTGACTCTTTTGCTTTCGGCTCCCAATTGGCACGCCTGAAAATAATCAGTGAAAGAGAGCTTGTGTCTAGGACAAGCTCTATCATTATTTCTCCTTTTAATTTATGGTATATATCTCAGTCTTGAGAACAGGATCAAAGATAAGAAGAAACCTGTCAATAGATTCGTGAGAATGGATAGTCTAACCAGAGTGCGGGAAGTTATAAATCATGGAACTTCTCATTCATCCTAAAGTTTCCTTCGTCACCTTGTCAGGGGCGCCATTTTAGGTTACTGCAGGGCCAGGAGGGAAGTGATGAGGTCTTTTTTCCCTCTAAGCTTCTCACCTTAGAAATGGCAAATGCACGTCTTCCAAACTCTGTCTGACTATTTCCCTGTCCTCTTTTCCTTTCCGGTTGTGGCTAACTTTCCATGGCCCAACTTCAGAACGAAGGGCTGGGCAAATTCTTGGCTTACCTCTCTCTAATGGTGCCCCTGCGCCTTATTTAGGTACACAGATTTTTCTTGGAGGATTGTTTCATATAATCAAAAGCTAAAGTGCGATAAAAATTCCTCGTGGAGGATTGAGAAGGTTGTCAGAATTTCACTCTAATTTTTCAGCATCAATCAAATAAAACTTTAAGATTCATCACCTATGTATCTAATCCAGGTCCTAGTAAATATCCAACCAAATTAGAACTGGAATTTTGTGTTTCCAGTCTCCAGAAGTGCAATTTCTGCAGATTTTCCATCCGCACCCAGTGTCAATCTCAGATCTCGTTTCTTCCCTAAAATTGCTAAGCACAATTACAGTTAATATTTGTTGAAGTCAGCATTTAAGCATTTTTTGACCGGGCGCAGTGATGATGGCTAGAAAATTGTGAATCTAGAAGAGTAAAAAGTGCTGATTTTTTAATGAGAAGGGCTGAGCGGTCTAAGTAGAGAGATGAGACTTTTCCTTTAAGAAACATCCTTAAGCCAAAATTATTTTTTTCATCCTCTTTGGGATTCCTCTTCTTAGCGGTAACTACTTGTCATGAATACACTTTCAATGTCTTTATTCTTCAGATGTCTCCTCACCCTTTTTAAATGAAAAAAAAAATAAATGTATACCTATTTGTAGGTATACCTAGGTAATAAATAAATAACAAATCATAGGCATCTGCTGCAAAAGCGATTAGTAGGGATTTTTAATTTTCAGAGATCTTAAGTAAAATGCCGAGAAAGAAAGAACGCCGTATGAGCAAGCCATCAGATGTTGCCATATTTCCTTCAAGAAACACCGAATTTACTGAGAAAATTGTGAATATTTTTCCTCAAATTTTTCAGTCAATTTTGTCCCCGGTTTCATCCAAAATATTTGAAAATTTCAAGGAAAAATATGCACAACTTTCCTTAATAATACATGTTTTATTCGGGGAAATTTGGCAACTCTCGAATGTTCATACGGCGTTTTTCCTTCACACGGCAGTATATGGGTGCTTTCAAATAAGCGTCTAATCTGGTGTCCCCAGCTGTTTTAATCGTCATAATCTGAGAACCATGAGCAGAGTAAATTTTTTTCTCATTTTCCTAACTATTGTTGACTATTACATGCTATTTTCCACTTTCTTTGGACTAAAATACAAATTTAGCACAATTTTTAATGTGCAGATTGCCTTCATTTGTCCCAAATTTGCGTGTCCCCCGTGCCCGGTTCTTGACTTTAAATCGATTTTGCAGCATAGCTAGAGCGATTACTTGGGAAAACTTTATCGGAGATGAAAGGTAATGATTTTGAATTTGAGAAAGAATAGTATAAAACACGTTTTACTATTTCAAAAACTTTTCTCACGCGTTTAAATCTTTGTCCCCGGCAACAGTGCGCGTGACTTGGCAACGGTGTCACGGGTTTTGAATAATTTCCGCTGCGTAGCGCTTTCGTCAGTGTCATCTGTTTATGTTGTGATAAGGTTGTTTATATGTTGTAGTTTGCTGGAAAGACGAAGATTTTTAAGTTTTGTGCCCTTAAAGAGGAGAAAAGGTGCTAAAGCTAATGTGAAACACGGTAGGTAACAGCTCGTAAAGCATACATGTCCACATTTGTTTCAGCTCTTAAATACCCTCCAAGTGTTAATTCATGAAAACCTTGATATTTTTCTGATTATTGAGGTTGGGTTAGCCACACTTTACGAGTTATAAGCATCATATTTGTCTTAATTACCAAGACAAGTTTAAAATAAAGCTTATGTCCACTCGGTCCCATGTCCACTCGGTCCCGTGTCCACCTCGGTCCCGTGTCCACTCGGTCCCACAATGGGACAGAGTGGACAAAGTAGAACAGAGCTCATTATGTCCACCTTGTCCGTCTGATGGAAACTTAATTCAAATGAACTCGTAAGTAATTAATAATCCTTAAAGGGGGCCTTGAGTTGAAATGGAGGTCATTTAGTGATAGATTTACATTAATTCTGTACTTAATTACACTGATAAATGTGTGATAATATCAGCTTATTCTTTACCTAACATTTCTAACCCAACATTTGATCAAACCATCAGGGGAACCCTGATAAATAAGTGCCTCTCGGAAGTTTTGTTTCGATAATTGTTTGTTTGTGTGAAGTGAAGCATAATCTGAAAATTTGAGTAAGTAAACTCTACACAAATCATCCTTTTTTAGAGAATTTTTATCAGTTAGAGGAAAATTTAGAAAATTGTAATAAGGAGACAATTAACGTCCCTGAGAACTTGATACATACATGATGGAGCTATTGTTACCCACACAATATACCCTCATACTCATTTGTTTGCAATATGAACTCCATTTGAGTTGAAACAAATTTCACAAATCATCCCACAGTTTCATCGATAAGGACCCAACGCATGTTTCTAGTCTAATGTATCACTGGGACTCATCACTTTTTGTCCGTAGTCCTGACGCCCAATTTGTTCTCTTTTTTACCTAATTTCTTTGGTATGAAATGATAACATGCATTTTGTAGGAATGCTATTGCAATGACATGAATTAAAATATTCTTTCTCATTTGACTGTCACTGGTCAATCAATGAATCCGCTGGCAAGATGGGATGATGAGAGTATCACAGTTGAACATTCAAAGGTAACTTTATGCGAAGGATGTGTGAAACGTAAGATTTCAGAGCCTGCCACTGAGTTATGAAATTTTTTCTCGTCACAAAAAATGGAAAGTTCCCAGTTATTTAGCTTACTGTTAATGCATTCCAACAGGTCCTAAGATATCTTGGTTGCCTGAAATAGCAGAAAAGTCTACAGCTAGCATGATTTGCAGAAGCCAAGGACGTGATTTACCTATTTGAAATTTTGGAGATTCAACCTACATTTTCAAGAAGTAAGGAAAGCTGCCATATCTGCAGCTAAGCATCTCTGACACCTTTTCTGATAGAAGAATCGTGGTGGGCTACTCAAATTTTTAACAAGTAGGTACACAATTTTATTACATAACCCTTTCTTACACCTGAAAAAAATTTTGACCTACTAAAGGTTTGATACAAACTCCACAGTTTTTTTCATTTGTGGACGTGTGACATGGATAGTTGATTCGGGCAAAAAAATTAAGGATGTGATTTTGACTGAAAATTCTCTGCAAGTCTTAAATAATAAGTTACGAGCAGTCTAGTTCATTTATTTTAAAAGAATCCTGACAAATTCATGTTCTACTTTGATTATAGAATAAGAGGTGAGCTGAATATTTTATTTATTAATAACCCCTCACATGAACTGATCATGAGCCCACTGTAGCGTCATTTTAAGGAGATGGGTTGTTTTTACGAGTCAGGTAAAACAATCGGTTGAAGGATTTTGACAGAAAACTCTTTGTAGTGGAAACAGAATAAGTTACAAGTGGTTTGTTTAACTTTATGCTAGTGGACGTACAACTGCATCTTATTTCAGCAATTCTGTGCCCTAAGCATTGCAGATCAGATTTTCAAGTAGCTCCTCTAGAAAAACTGGTTTTTTTTAAAAAAAGAATTTCAACTGCTTACCGTAAAGCGGCATGAGATTTACTAGCATTTTCAATTCCCAAATGTTTATAACTGCATTCCTAAATACTCAGATATTGCTGATAATAGATAATGCTGCTTGATTATGTCAAAAAAGGTGAGCTGAATGTTTCGTTTACCTAGTTTTATACTTTTTTATTTTTTAATTTGTGATTGATCACTAGGAAGCAAAATTTTTCAAAAAGATTCAACCTAAGAAGGGGGTAATGCGTTATCATAAGACATCTTACAATAATTGGGGCTTTTCCTTGTTTTTTTTTTAATTTTCTATAATTTTGAGACAAATATCAACAAAAAACAAAATTTTTGGTTTATTTTTCTCTCTTTACAACTAAGTGTCAGAATTACACCTAACAACTTTGATTAATACAAAAGTATTGCCTAAAATTTTATATAGAACTTTGTTTGTCTGAACTTGAACTGAACTTGAAAGTTTAAATAATTTAATTTAATATTTTTACAAGACAAATTTCCCTTCATCTCTCTCTTTTTCTGTGCTTCTCTTTATCTCCATCTATCTTTTTCTCCTCTTGGAATACCTTAAAAAATGGACATGTTGAATGATAATAAATCATTATTATAATTGAATTACAATTTGCATTTATCTGAAACCTCATTTAATTAATTTTATATTTTTGGTTTCAGAAGATTTGGAG